CCCCCCCCGCAACAGGGCAGTCGCAAATTTGAGAAAGCAGTCCCGCAACTTTCGGTGACATCACACCCCACGGAGACCCCCCTGTCTTTGTTCCAATTGGAGGTGTTTCCAGATCCTTCTGGAAAGCACTTTTTTTAAACCTTCGGAAAATGAGGTTCTCCCCTGCGAGTCCTCAACCTGCTTGTCCCATGGATTTTATTCTCAGCAGCGTTGAGCGGTCCTCTGCGCTGCTCTGTGCGCAACTTTCCACCTGCAACGCCGCGCTGGGGAGATCCCTTCGCGCGTCCTTCTCTTCCCGCGTCCAGAGTCAACGGCTTGGACAACCCCTTCGACCGCCCCACCCCCATCACCAAGGAAACTTGGATCGGTTGTGATCCCCCCAGAGACTGCATCCCGTGATGCAGATCATTTACGAATCGAGATAAATCCCGGAGATGGGATTGGCTGAGAGAGCGGTTGAAACACTAGAGGATTTCCTTGAAGGATTTTCCTTTCTAGGCCGGGAGTTGGGGTTTTTCGGTTGATGAATGGGGTCGGTCTGCGCAGCCAGTTTTAAGGGCTCAAATGCTGCTCTGAGGTGCATTAAACTCTTAGATTGTTGGAGAGACGAAGGAGAGAGTGGGAAGAAGTGGAGAAAAAAAATAGTAAGGGGAAGAGGAGGGAGGGAAAGAGAAGCTAGTAGAGAGGAAATGGGAGAGAAGGAGGTGGAGAGAAAGCGAGTTTGCAGAGAATGCGAGCGAATTTGGAGAGAGAAAGGGAGACGGAGGGAACTCTAGAGCAAGTTTAGAGAGGTGAGAGAGAGGGAGGGTGCGAGAGAGCGCTAGCTCGCGTGAGCTTGGATGAATGGAAAGGGTGAAGAGGAGGCTAGGGAAGCGGCGAGCTCCCTCTCTAGCTTTGCGTTGCTAGGTAGCAGCCTGGAGCTGCGTGTGACCCACCACTAGACAGACAGAGCGGACGCTGCAGCCGCCACGGTACTAATCTGTCTGTGAGGATAGGAGAGTCCCCCCCTTTCTTCTCTTGCTGCCCTCGGCTCCGTCCTTCCCGTCGGACAACTTAATTGCCCTACAATGAAAATGAAACCCCTATTGTTGCAGGATTAGGCAAAGCAATAAATTGATGTCCCCTAGATCGCATATTGGGGTTGACCGGTAGGGACTGTTAAGTCCCCGTGTATGGGGGCTGGGAGGGGAAGGCTTGTGGATGGGCTGTGGCGTGTATTCAATTGGTTAATCTGCTTTCTTGCTTCAATTCTTAGCTTAAGCTCTTTAGAAGGAATCAAGTAAGTAATTATACAGCAGCTTCTAACAGCACCCATTTCAAACTTCCTGGGAAGAAGTTTGGAAAGCCCATTGGCTTTGCAGAAATCTCTGGAAAGGAATGGGAAGCAAGGAGGAGATCTTTAGCAATTCTTCCTTAAGCACCTTTTCTCAGTGTTGGCAACACAAGACAGAATGCACTCATCTATCACTGGACTGTTAACCACAAGGTTAGTAGTTCAAACCCACCAATATGAGACCATTATTTTTGTTTTGAAAGGAGTCCTGGTAGCATTGTTGTTGTTAAGTGCCATCGAGCCGGTTCCGACCCATAGTGACCCTGTATGGTTTCCGAGGAGCGGCTGGTGAGGTTGAACTACCAACCTTGAGGTTCAAATGACTTTGTCAAATTAACCCACAATGCCACACTAAGGCAGTAGACTGCTAATCTCAAGCAGTTAAAATCTACCTGCCCCTCTGCCAGAGAAAGATGAAGTTTTGACTTCTGTAAAGATTTACAGTCTGGGAAACCCTATGCAGGGTTGCTATAAATTGGAACCAACTCCAGGGCAAATAGCCACCACCAACCATTGTTGAAGGTTTAATCTGAGACCCTCAACAATATTAGATGAGTGTGTTCTTTCTTAGGGTCGTACATAGTTCATGTCCTAAATATAGCCACAGCTTTTACTACTGTACCTTCCTTTCAGTGTCTGGCAAAAGGAAATCTTGGCTATATTCATCTGGGAATGTCTCCCAACAACCACAACTGATGTTCTCTTCCCTGGGTTGATGGTATAATCACTAAATAACCCGTACTTGATAGTTTTAATCCATCTTCCATTCTATAATAATTACATCATTGGACTGCTAACAGCAAGGGTGGCAGTTCAAATCCACCAGCAACTGCTCAGGAGAAAGATGAGACTTTCTGCTCCCATAAAAATTTATAGCCTCGGTTGGGTGGCTATGGGTTGGAATCAACTTGATGGCAGTGAATTTCACTTTGAAGTAATGTTGCCGTTGAGTCAGTTCTGACTCATAGCGACCCTGTTTAGGGTTTCTGAGGAGCAACTGGTGGGTATGAACTGCTGACTTTGTGGTTAACAGTCCATTGCTTATCCAGCCCCACACTAGGAGATACTCCTTTCACTATTTTGCAGATATGGCACAGAATAAGTATTAATCTGAGACTTGCCAAGGTCATACTGCTAGAAAATGACAGAACCAAGGGAATCCATATTATATGTGGCTCTTTCTGGTCATTTCTATGTCTCTTTTAAAATGTCAAGCTCCCTAAGTTACTATCCTTATGTGTGATTACAAAGGGAGCTGAGGGGCATTTTGCAATTTTTTTTTACCATATAAAGTAAAAATCCATCTGTGGGCATTTTTTCAGAAACACTTTTCAGGTTTCTAAGACGTGAATTCCAAACTGTCTTCATTTATAGTGTTTCTCCTTCACTGTTTTAAAACACATACACATTCAGAGTGTCTTCAGCCTGGTCACCTGAAGATCCCAGAGGAGTCCTGATGTGGTGCCTTAGAATAAGCATTGGACTGCTAACAGCAGTGTTGGCAGTTCAAACCCACCAGCTGCTTCTTGAAAACCTTATATACAGGTTTGCTGTGAATCAGAACTGACTCAATGACATTTAACAACTTAACAGATGAAGTAAAGTAAGACGACATTGTAGATGCCTTTATTTAAGCACCACATTTTTGGTGAGACCCCATTGTAAACTGTTAATCACTAGAAATTGGAAGTGAAGTATGAGCATACTATAGTTAGTCTTTATATATATATAGGTGTTAAGTGCCATCGAGTTGGTTCCAACCCACTACTGTGGGTTAATGTGGTGGACTGCAAAGTCACTTTGAACCACAAGGTCAGCTGCTCCTTGGAAACCCTATACAGGGTTGCTGTGGGTCACAACTGACTTGACAGC